GTGGTGGAGGTGGCTGTGTGCCACTGAGTCTGTTCTGACTCATAGCAACCCTGTATAGGGTTTCTGGGGCTTTAAATATTAACAGGAGCAGAAAGGCTTATCTTTCTTCCAAGGCACAATTCACAGATTTGAACTTCTGACCTTGCAGTTAGCAGGCCAGTGTGTAGTCCACGACACTACCAGAGTTCCTTGGTCTTCCTTATAAGCATGTGGATATTATCCCATCACAGACATCATTGTATTTCAAGGTAGATCTTGAAATGTTCTCTTTGATGGTGAATGCAACACCATTCCTCTTGAACTTGTCATTGCTAGCATATTAAACCGTATGCAACTGTCAGATTAAAAATGGCCAATACCACCAGTACATTCCTGCTCACTAATGACTTAGGGTGCTGATATTTATGTGTTCCATCTCATTTTTAACAATTTACAACTTTCATAGTTTTTGAACATTCCATGTCCTGAATGTTAGTGGATATTTTAAGCTGTTTCTCTTTATTTTGAGTTGTGCCACACCAACAAATGAAGGTCCTGAAAGCTTTACTCCATTTGCTCATCAAGGGTAACTGTCCTTTGAGGAGGCAGCCCTTCCCCAGTCATATTTTCAGTGCCTTCAATCTGAGTGGCTAATCTTCCGGCACTATATCTGAAAAGATACCACACTGTTCATAAGGTTTTCAGCAGCTAAACATTCATAAGTAGTCGGCCTCTCCTTTTTCCTAGTCTGTCTTAGTCTAGAAGGTCCACTGAAACCTCTCCACTATGGGTGACCCTGTTGGTATTTAAAATGCCGGTGCCATAGCTTCTAGAATCATAGCAACATGTAAGCCACCACAGTATGACAAACTGACAGATGAGTTGTGGACCCTAAAATTAAAAGCATTGTTGTCGCTTTTTGTTTGTTTGGTTAGTTGTTTGTTTCTACTTCATACTCAAAGAAAACAGTTTAGCCTGTTTCTAGTGTCATGCTTAGTAAATGAAACAAAACCCCATCAGAATCTGTCTGTTTAGATGCTTGGTGGAAAAGACTGAATTAGTGTTGTTGTTAAGTGCCATTGAGTCAATTCCAACCCATAATGGCCCTGCATAGGGTTTCTAAGGAGCAGCTGGTGAGCTTGAACCAACGCCGTTGCATTGCAGTTCAAATGACTTTGCAATGTGACACATTAGCCCACAGTGCCACACTAGTACTCCGAGCGAGTGTTGGGAACTCTAAATTTTACTTCCGGCAGGACACAAAAATCAGCTATGAAACTTGTTAGACAAGTTCATTTAATTGTGTTCACTCAACCACAGAATTAGAAAAATAAAATAAGGCCTTTGTAGTTAACAAGTTTGTTGTAGGGTACAAATGATGATGCATAGCTTAAAAAACTTTGCCGTCTCTGTAATGTTTGAAAAGTTTTACAAGTTCATAGGTTTTATTTTTGGAGCGAGGTTGTAAAATAGCATGGGTATTTGTGGTGTGATCTCTTTTGGGTTTAAAAAGTAAAACAAAAACTATACACTTGTATACAAAACTTTGGCAGAATATGTGAAAAATTAATACCACTAGTGATTTATAGGGAGTAGTGACAAACAGAAGGAGCTCTGGTAGCATAGTGGTTACGAGTCGAGCTGCCAACCTCAAGGACAGCAGTTCAAAACTACCAGCGGTTCTGTGGGAGAAAGATGAGACGTTCTGCTCCCGTAAAGATTTACAGCCTTGGAAACCCTGTGCAGGGTCACTATGAGTTGGAATCGACTCCATGGTACTTAACAACAACAGTGACAAACAGTATGACAAGCTGATCCACACTCATCTGTCAGACTCAGGTGGCTTGCTCTGATGCTGAAAGCTATGCTACCAGTATTTTGAATACCAGCAGTCACCCATGGTACACAGGTTTCAGCTGAGTTTCCAGACTAAGACAGACTAGAAAGGAGAGGCAGATGACTTCTGAATGGTTAGCCTCTGTAAACCTTAGGAATAACAGCAGAACATTGTCAGTTATAGTGCTGGAAATTGAACACATGAATAGTAGCAGGACATTGTCAGTTATAGTGCTGAAAGATGAGGCCCTCAGGTTGGAAGGCACTCAAAATACGACCAGAGTAGAGCTGCCTCCTCAAAGTAGAGTTGACCATGATGACAGGAATGGAGTAAACCTTCTGAGATCTTCATTTGCTGATGGTGCTCTACTCAAAATGAGAAACAGCTACAAACGTCTAATAATCAGCATGGAATGTATGAAGTATGAATCTAGGAAATATAGGAAGTTGTCAAAAATGAAAAAGAATGTATAAAGATTGATATTGTAGACATTACTGAGCTGAAATGGATTGGTATTGGTCATTTTGAGTCTGACAATCACATGACTTACTATGCTGGGAATGACAAGTTCAAGAGTAATGGCATAGCATTCAGCATCAAAAAGAACATTTCAAAATCTATCTTGAAATATAATGTTCTCTGTGATAGAATAATATCATATGCCTGCAAGGAAGACCAGTTAATACCACTATTATTCAAATTTACTCACTAAACTCTGACGCCAGTGATGATGAAATTGAAGAATTCCACCACCTTCTTCAGTATAAAATTGATAAAAAATGCAATCAATATGAATTGGTAATTACTGGCAGTTGGAATGGGAAGGATGGAAATGGAGAATAGTTGGAAATCATGGCCTCAGTGACAGAAATGATGTTGGATATTGCACAATAGAAATTTGCAAGATATAAATGACTTAGTCATTGCAAATACTTTTATAAAACAACATAAAAGGAGATTATGCATATGGCCCACATCAGATGGAATACACAGGTATCAAATTGACTACATCTGTGGAAAGAGACAGTGGAAAAGCTCCACATCATCAGCCAAAACAAGTCCAGGGGCAGACTGTGGAGCAGATCATCAATTGCTTATGTGGAAGTTCAGGCTGAAGCTGAAGAAAATTGAAACATGTCCATGGGAGCTAAAATATGACCTTGCATATATCCCACCTGAATTTAGAGATCATTTATAGAATAGATTTCATGCATTACTCACTAGTGACTGAAGACCAGAAGAGTTGTGGAATGATATCAAAAACATCATACAGGAAGATCGCAAAAAGTCATTAAAAAGACAGGAAAGAAAGAAAAGATCAAAATGAATGCCAGATGAGACTCTGAAGCTTGTCTTCAGTATAGAGATGCTAAAGTGAATGGAAGAAAAGAGAAAGTAAAAGAGTAGAACAGAAAAGTTCAAAGGGCAGCTCGAGAAGACAAAGTCAAGTATTATAATGGAATGTGTAAAGACCCGGGAATTAGAAAACCAAAAGGGAAGTACATGCTCAGTATTTCTCAAGATGAAAGAACTGAAGGAAAAATTCAACTTTGACTTACTATACTGAAGGACTTATGGGCAAAGTGGAGTCCTGGTGTGGCACTGACCCTCCATTTACTAAGCATGACATCCTTCTCCAGGGACTGGCCCCTCCTGGTAATATGTCCGAAGTATAGAGTCAGGAGCTCTGGTAGAGTAGTGGTTACGAATCGGGCTGCGAACCTTAAGGTCGGCAGTTCGAAACTACCAGCTCTTCCACGGGAAAAAGATTAAGCTTTCTGCTCCCATAAAGATTTACAGCCTCAGAAACCCTGTGCAGGGTTGCTATGAGTCACGGCACATAACAACAACAAATGGAGTCAGGAATAGGAGGCAGAAATAGAATGTGCTGCTAATGAACAATTGTTTCCTTTGCCTTGGGACCTACCAAAATAATTGAATGGTGCCTGGCTACTATTACTAAACAATTTGGTGAAAGATTCTATAGAAGAATCCTGATCAAAAGATGGGGCCGGTGGTGGGAATCCAGAATAGAATTTCAGATTCTTATGGAATTCAGACTTTCTGAAGCCACTGAGGTTGGCTGAACCTCAGAAACAATTGCCCTTAGATAATTTTTAAACCTTAAACCAAACAATAGCTTAATTAGTAAAATATGTTTGTCTTCAGCACAGTGTTCTATTAAAGAACCAAACTCACAGCCATCAAATAGATTTCAACTCATAGTGACTCGACTTAGTATTTTGAGACTGTAAATGTTTATGGGAACACACAGTTTCATCTTTCTCCCGTGGAGTGTCTGATGGAATGCCTAACCCACAGCGCCACCAGGGGCATGGGATCAAAGTGACAACAGTGGTGTACAACTTGAAGAATGTAATCAACGTCACTGAATTGTATGTATAAAAATTGTTGAATTGATGTATGTTGTGCTGTGTATATTTTCAGCAGTAACAACAACAAAAATTATTTAAAAAAAGAAAAGAAAGGACAGGATGGAGTGTCTTGATCACAGAGGGCTCAGGATCCATCCCTTCTTCACCTTCTCCTGTCCCCACATGTTTTACCAGCAAATTGGCACCACAGAGAGATTCCACTGTGTTGAAGCCTTCCCTTCAGTACCATCAACACTGATTAGATACGTGAAATGCAAAAAGGCTGTTGAGTTGCACATTTTATTAGAACGTTCTTTACAAACTTATATAAATGACCTGAAGTGAATCAGGAAGGGGACTTGGGTCCATCCAGGTGGACAGGATGAAAAGGCCCTAAGCGCTTCATGACTTGTAATGCATATCAAAATATTAAGTTAACTGTAAATTTAATGCAAGCCCAACAAAATTCTGATTTTCCCCATGAGGATTATTTTGAAGCACCCTCCACCCCCAACTCAATGGTTCCTGGATTGTTTGTTTCCCAGGCACAGGCTCACTTGCCTCTGGATCCCACCCACCTATGCAGAGCCTGGGACTAATTCTGACTCTTTTTGTCTGTAGGACAGAGTAGACAGCCTCAGCTATCTCCCCTGGAGCAGATGGTAGGTTTGAACAGCCCACCACAACATTTAACCCACTGTGCCACCAGGGCACCTGTGAGACGTGCAGTAAAGGCCGAGACATCTCAAGGCATGAAATGAAAATGAACACAAAGCTGTACATAAGTCAGAGACCAGCTGTACCCAGCTTCACTTGGGGACAATGAGTCGCGCAAGGTCACACAGCTGGCCAGGAGCAGAGCTGGATTCCAGGGCACTGCTTTCTCCGCTATACCACCCATTGGACCCTTTCAAAGTAAGGCTAGAACCTGTTTTCCAGACGGCAAAGAAAGGAAAGACTTTGCCAGAGAAAGAGGTGGTGAAAGTGAAGATAGGTGTCTGAGAGTCGGCGTTGAGGAGGGTCACCAGGCCAGCCTCGTAGTCCAGAGACACGCCCACGCGGCGCGGGATGGCATCTAGAGTCAGCTCGGTGCCTGGGGAGGTGCTGGCCCAGCACTGCTGGTGCGAAAGGATCACGGTCCAGACACCCTCCTCGGTGCTCAGGCCCATGTCCCCCTTCCTCCTCACTGCCTCCTGAGCCACCCCCACGGTGCAGCTGCCGCCTTCCCCCAGCTGCACCTCCACCTGCCAGAGGTGGCGACCCGAGGAGAATCCCTGGGAACCCAGCACCACCGGGAGCCCCTCGAAGCGCAGGGGGCTGTCGGGCAGGTTCTGCGTCTGCCTGGTGTACCTCACTGCCTTCCTGTCCTCAGAGAGGACCAGATTCCTGCTGGCGGTCTGAGGGTCCAGGGTGACGCCCCCTAGAGGGTGGAAAGAACAGACATCAACCTGCGTTTAATAACCCCCCAAGAGATTTGTATGCACGTGAAATTTGAGAAGCCCTGAGGAAATAGGTTTGTCAGAATGGGAGAGTGCTTTTGGAAGCAGTTTTTAAATGACCGAATCATTTAAAGTAAAAGCTATTTTATTTTTTGAAAATTGTACCATCAATATTTAATTCAGTAAGGACTCCAGCATAGTGCTGGACATAAAACAAGAACTTGACAAATGTTTCTGAGTGATAATATCTATACAAGCCTGTAACAATAATTGAGCACTTACTATGTGCCAGATACTGTCTGAAGCTCTTTGAATACACTGGTTCATTCATTTACTCCTTGTAGCTATTTATGGGATGGCTACTATGATTTTTTCTATTTTATAAGTGAAGAATTTGGAACCAAAAGGATAAATAATTTGTCCACTGTTTCCCAGCTAACAAGAAGAGCTAGACTAGAGAATCCACACAAAGGGGCTAGAGTTTATACCTATAACTGCTCTGTTTGCTGCCCTGAGCTCAATGGATGCATTAATGAATGGATCGCGACTCTGTCTGCCTCCCCCTCCCCAGCTGTTTACCTGAATCTGTTTCCAGGTGAAGCACCAAGCTTTCTGAGGGAAGCAGAATGAAAGATCTGTAAATTGTTATTGGCAGGCATTCCTGGGGACACTGTGTACTAGATACGGTATGAGGATAGGAACAGGGGAAAGTGTCTGCTACGGTCTAATGGGAGAGAAGAGGTTCTCACCTTCCTGGACAGTCTGTCCAATGTTAGGACACAGTGCACCTGCCCTTGGGGAGGGGAGGAGATGTATAGGGAATGGTCCCTTGAATGGTGTAGGATCACTAAGGGACAGTTTACAAGAGGGAGACATATCGAGCTGGGATTTGAAGGCAGGGCATGGGGAGATGGGTTAAATGCAAGAGGTACCTGCTGGGGATAAGGAAAGCTGTGACTTCTTCTCTTTACCTGAGAACTTTCTCATCATCTCTGGGAGAGGGAGTGTTTTCTGGTGGATACTGCGAATCTTGTAGACAAGGTCGGAAGAAATGGACTCCGGACTCACAAAAGTCTTACTCTCATACCTGCAGGCAAATTGGCAAAGTGTTGGGCCCAAATTCCAAAAATAAGGTTTGGGTTTGACAGACTAAAGAATGGTCTTGGGGGTCTGTGGTGAATGATTATATTGATCATCATCTCTTTACCTTTGCTGGGGATGTACAGCTACTAAAGCAAGAGGAATTTCAGTTAGACCCAAGAGGAACTACTGGTAGCTATGCATCCAGAAATAAATGCTGGCCTGTGGGAGCCTGGAGGGACAAGGTCATTACCCCTATTAGCCTCTGGAGGGAAGTGTGGTATCGTTTGAAAAACTTGGTTGGTTGTATGCCATAGAGTTGGACCTGACTCACAGTAACCCTGGTATGTTTGTTGTTGTTAAGTGCTGTCGAGTCAATTCCGAACCATAGCGACCCTGTATAGGGTTTCCAAGGAGCAGCTGGTGAGCTTGAACCGCCGACCTTGCAGTTCAAATGGCTTTGCAGTCTGGTGCCATTAACCCACAGCGCCACACCAGGACTTGTTTGCAAGGTTGTAAATCGTTACAGGAGCAGAAAGCCTCATCTTTCTCCCAAGGAGCAGCTGGTGTACTTGAACTGCTGACCTTGGATTAGCAGTCTAGTGTGTAACCGATTATGCCACCAGAGCTCCTTATTTGAAAAATAGCCTTACTTAAACTATTTCTGGAGTCCTGGTGTGGCACTGGAGGATAAACACTGGATCGCAAGGTCAATTTGAATCACAGGTGACAGTTCAAACCCACCAACCACTCCTCAGAAACCCTATACAGGGTCATTATGAGTTGGTACTGACATGACGGCGTTTAATCTTAATCAAAAAACTATTTCTAATATGAACTCGGTTCTGTATAATAGGAAGAGAATCCAGAGATGGGACGGAAAAGAGAAAAAAAAAATGAAATTAAGGAAAACACACAAAAAAGCCCAGATTCTGGTCCCAGCTCAGCTCTTCTGAAACCACTGGTCATGTGACCTTGAGTAAGCACTTCACCATCTAGGCCTCTATTTCTTCATCAGTCTAGAAAATCTCAAAGGCTCTTCTAGATCAAAATCTCTAAGACTCTTTGAAAAGTGTGTTTGCTGCAGGATAATGCCCTAGACCGAGAGGTCGGTTTGAACCGCAAGGTTGGCAATTCAAACTCACCAGCCGCTCCTTTGAAGCCCTATACAGGGTCGCTATGAGTCGGAACTGATTTGATGGCACTTAACAACAACATGAATGGGCACACAGCACATGACAAGTGTTCCTACTCATAATGTCTTTTCTCTTCTCGGGGTAGGGTGCTAGTGTTTACAGTAGGGAAGAAAGGAAAGTAGACATATCTACAAATGTCTCCCAGCAATTAGGAGGAAAAGAGGGGAATTTAGTAGGAGAGAAGAATGGAAAGTGTTTCTAGTTTCTCCAGGTTCCCTGTTTTATCAGTCTATAGAAAATATTTCCCCTTAAAGTTGCATTTTCAAAGTGTTAGACCTGACTTGAGTACTAATAATTTGATAGATTATTAAATCTGTGTTTCAAGGCCAGTCTGAAACATAATTAGCATTTATAACTTCATTTCTAGGAGTGGGAAATGAGTCCCAAATACCAATCAGCTTCAAAACGAACCTCTAGACCACAAACCTTGAGTTTTTTTTATGTGAATGACTGAGACCGTTGGTTATGGTCTCAAAACAAACAATGCCTTGCTTTTCTGTGCAACCATTCCTGTGTGGGACTGTACCTTTGTCCCTTCAGTCTCAGTGCATAGAAAGGAGGCAGGACTGGGGAGTGGACCCTACCTGCTCTGGTTGAATCTGACATCCTACAAAAGAAAGAGAAGAACACAAACTTAGTTTCTACATGTCCTTCCTCTCAGGGATTCTGCGCATCCTTCCTTCCTTAAAAGATCAGCTCAAGCTTCCCTCCTCCAGAGAGCTCTACCTGTTTAATTACCTACTCATTAATTAGATTGTTCTTTTACCTCATGCTTCCTCCCTAATCTGGGACTCTAGTCAGTTCATTTGTGCTGGGTTCTCTGTCTCAGTCTTATCCTGGGTGTATTCTACCTGCAACAATTAAGAGAGCGTAAAGAACAGGGCCAGGCCTTGAGCTATTAGCCAGACCTGCTGTAAAACTGGATAATATAAATAATGATCATCATAATAGTTTATTGACTTAATGCTGTGTGCTAGGGACCATGCTAAGCATTTTATGTAGATCTTTGCAACAATCCTAAGAGGGGAATGTTATTATTACCCCCATGTTTACAGGGGTTAAGAGTCTTGCCAAATTTACACAGGTGGGAGAGCCAACACTCAAAACCAAGACTGACTCCAAAGCCCGGGACATGACCACAGTGTGTGTCTTGGGCGAGTCATCCAGTCTCTCTGGGTCTGTAGCTCCTTAACCTGTCTGCTAAAGGAACCAGATAACCATTGGTCCTTCCCATTAGAGGTAATCTCCACTTTCGTTTCCTCCCTATCCCACGAGGTGGTGGAGTGTCTCTCACTTTCAAGAGCTCATTTGCTGATTGCTGACATTTTTCCTCCAGCTCCTTGACTTGGGCTCCAAGTCGAGTCACCTCCTCTGAGACCTTTGTGATATACTCATCCCGCTCCTTCCAGATCTGTTGTTCCAAATCCCTCAACACGGCCAGCAGACGTTGCTGTTGTTTTCCCAGTTTCTGTTGCAGCGACTCAAAAGCCTCTTCCACCTGATGCTTTTTGCTTTCAATCTGAGACTGTAAGAGTTAGAAAGACACACATGGTTAGGGAAGTGCTCACAGAGCTGGGTTCCAGGAGGATCACTCACATACTTAGTATAGGTTGAGCTGTAGTGACTAAGCAGGTCCAAGACTCATTTCCCCCAATAATACTGTGGTAGAAGTAGCTGGGATTCAGGACGAATTGACCAATGATGAGGGCTGTGCTATTGTCTTACCTAGAGATTCTAATAATGATGCCTCTTTATTCTCTCATATCCACATTGAACTTTTCAAAACCCTTCCACATCTATGATCACATCCTTGCCTACCATATTTGTAGAATTAGGTGGATATGGTTATTTTTATTTCTTAGAGAAGCACTGAGGTGAAAGGAGGCTGGGGTTAGAGTCAACACAGTTTACCCGAAGAATGCACAGTGTCGGTCTTAGCCGTTGAAGTGGCCAATTGCAGGGCATACTTGGATGGGAGTTAGGGGGTGTTGAAGAGATCTTCCTTTCCTCAAACTCTGTCTCCCTAGTCAAGGCACCAGAAATTCCTTCACTATGGACTTCATCCTGGTAACTTTGCAGCATGAAAAAACAAGTATGAAGGTGACATAAATAACCCCATCATTAACCCACTGTCCTTAGGGTCAGTCTTCTGGTCAGTGGTAGGATCCAAACACTAATATACACCTGTCCCCCAGCTTCCCATCTGAAGGGGATGCTTGCATTTGAGATGAAGGAATGGCAAGAGGTGAGAAGAGCAACTGACTAAGAGCCAAGAGACTGGTTCTAGTAATTTCATCATAAACTTGGGTTTTGCGGGGAGGTCTTGAAAGCATCACTTCCCTGAAGCTCAGCTTTCTGCTCTGTGAAACATTAGTGCTAAGATCTATTGTAGATTAGATGTCAGAACTACTTCCAGCTCTGAAGTTTGCCAGCAATTCCCAGACAATACCAGATAATAGGCTTCCCCAGAGTGTGTTAAGAAGCTTCTCCAGGGAGAAGGTGGCCAAAGCTATGGCTTTTACCAGAAGCACTTGGAGCTTCTGGTCTTCCCGACACTTTATGGACTCAACCTCATCTCTCTCCTTGTTCAGCGTTTTCAACCGACTCATGAGACGTTCCTAGATGGACAAGAATGGGCAAAAGAGGTGGTAGAATTAATAATCCAACTCACAAATACCATTGACCAGGCAGGCCCCAGGGTGGTGCAAACCTGCTGAGGATGGTGATTCCAACCCACCTAGTGATACCACAAAAGTAATGTGTGGTCCTGGTGATCCGCTTCCATACATATTATAGCCAAAGAAAACCCTATGAAATAGTTCTACTCCCTAAAACACAGGGTGACCATGAGTCAGAATTGATGGCAATGTGTTTGATTTTTGGTATCAAGTACTAGGCACACTGTGAAGTGCTGGGGAATTTGAAGGTGAAGAATGTCCAGTCCTTGTCACTAAAGAGATCTGTATCTAAGGCAGGACTCAACCATAGGTAATTAAAACATAAAAAGAGAGATGCAAATATGAAGATGTATACATAGCAGGATGGGAGACAGAGGAGGTGACAGTTTGGCGGAGGGAAGGTTTTTGAAAGCAGGAACCAGGTAAAGTGGGCTTGGAAAGACAAATTTGAAGTTGGATGAATAGAGAAAGAAAGCATGTGAACTACATGAGAAGAGTGCTAGAAGCAGGAAAGTGTCTGGCAGCTCAGTGTGGTGAGCATAAGGTGCCTTGGAGACAAAGGATAAGAGACAGACTGTTGAGGGCCCTGAACGCCTTGTTAAAGCCATTGGAACTTTCTTTGGGCACTAGGGATTCATGGAGGGATTTTGAACAGAGAACATGTTAGAGATAATACGAAGTCTAGGTGAGGGATGGTGTGAGCCATTTGGCAGTGGCTGGCTTATGCTGGCTTACTAACCTAGAAGGTTGGTGTTTCAACCCATGGGGTACCATGGAAAAAAGACGTGGTGTTCTGCTTTCATAAAGAGTATAGCCAAGAAGCCCTTATAGAGCAATTCAACTCTGTAACACATGGTGTCACCGTGAGTTGGAATTGACTCAAAGGCAATAGGTTGTTTTATCTGATAAAAGCTAAAGACATATCAAATCCAAGACCGGGTGGGAACTTCTTGTAATGCAGGACCACTAAAAGAAGAGTAGTGCTTACAGGTTCCTCGGTCTCCTTCCTTCACTTCTCTCTGAGCCACCGTGGTTCAGGTAAATCGTGTTTCTCAGGTGGATCATGGGGGTGGGGGATGAGAGAGTGGGGGGGCCCAAGTGCATACTGTCTGTAACCTACAGAAGTTCCTACTCTGCACTGGCTCTCCCTCCACAGTGAGTGAAGCCAGGGCTCCAGTTCTTTGTGTCACTGTGGGACCCATAGGGAAGTGGCCAGATCAGCTCCATTACTGTGGAGGGCTGGAAGTGAAGCTCTTCCTAAGACACACATCCAAGTGTGTTCCTAACAGTCTGAGAGTTTCCCTACAGCCTCGAAAGGAGCCTGGATGGTGCAAGCTGTTTGCAATCAACCACTAATCTAAAGCCTGGAAGTTCAAATCAATTCTTCAGCTCTGTGGAAGAAAGTTCTGGTGATCGGCTTTAATAACGATTCCAGCCAAGAAACTGCCCCTATGGCGCAGTTCTACTCAGTAATACATGCGGCGGATTGGAAAACAGCTAACAACAACAATACAAGGGGGCTTCAAAAAGCTTGTGGAAAATGGAATTAAAGATAATGGAATTTTTCCATGAATATTTTGAAGCCCTCTCTTATATTCTGGTGTGATGCTGTTGGATAAACGCTGGGCTGCAAAGTGGGTTTGAACCAGCTGCTCCTCAGAAACCCTATACCAGGTCACCATGAGTTAGAACCAACTAGATGACACTTAATAACAACAATAACAATGTATATTCTACAGCTTTGGGGTCCTTTTATCTAGATCTCCACCCGGTCCCTTGTACCCCTTGCCCCCAAGGCAGGACAATATCCTGCACTGAAGTGGCCTGAGGCAAAATCACGCTTCTTACCCGGTAGGGTTGAATGGCTTCATCCAGGAAGCCCACTCTGTGGGCCTGGTGGGAGGGACCCTCCCTGCAGAACACACAGAGGAACTCTGCATCATTCTCACAGAAGAAATAAATCTTCTCACCATGTTCCTCGCAGCAGGTCTCCCCGAGAGGGCCAAGAGGATAAGGGACCATTGGTTTCTCTGGCTGCTCCTTCTGTTGGCAGAGGGGGCAGAGCAGGATCCTGCTGGAGTGGGAAGCCCCCATCTGGGAGGGCTGGGAGAGGCAGCACAGGCAGAAGGTGTGTTCACAGACAGCAGTCACTGCATCCTTCAGAGGTCCTGCACAAGCAGGACAAGTGGCCCCCTCTCCGACTGTCTGCAGGGAGGAGGTTGAGGACATCACAGAGACTTTCCCAGGCTGTCACCTCAGGCCTCTGGGGTCCATCCACACAAATTCCCTTTCCCTGGAATTGCGTCACTTCTAAATGAGTCTCCGCGGGAAAGGAATCAGAGGCCAGGAGAGAAAGGCAGGAATATCAGCATGGGGAGTCACCTGGCTCTGCCTCTTGTGCCTTCTCAGGGTCCCCCTATCCTAGGCCACCACCCTCAGCTGAGTGGGTCCAAATTCCAGAGTGTTTTGAATTACCCAGCATTTCCCAATGGATCTTGTTCTCCGTGTAGCTTTATTATAGCTCCTTCCGGTCACTGGGGTGGGGAGCAGAGCATGACGTGAGGCCACAGGGAGAAGGGGTTTCCTGAAATCCCTCCCTTTACCCGTAGTGGCATTGGAAGGCCTGGGGAGGGGACATTTCCTGTCAGAATGAGCAGGTCAGTGTCATAAACTCTGGCAATGAGGCGTGCCACTGGTGGCAAAGTCCAAGTTGGAGTGGGTGTGACTTGAGTTCCATAGACTCTGGGGAGATTCAGGATTGCTCATCGGAAGTCTTCTCTCGTACCCTCCTTTTTCTGTCTCACTTCATCATCCAGGCGGGTCTTGCCTTTACTCCTAACTCTCCCTACCTCCTGGCACCACTGTCCTCACTTAGTTTGGTCACATGGACTTGGATTTTACAGCAGGTAAGCAAAGGTAACTGATTCACGTTGATAAACCAAGTTTAAAAGACTGTATTAGTCAAAAGATAAACAGATTTAACCACATTTCTCTATGGCTTAGTGTTTACATAGTATTACATCCAACTCTGACAGCAACCTTGGAACAGGCTAACATTACTTTCATTTTACAGAGAAAGAAATGTAAACAGAAAGGTAAAGTGACAAGCAGCAAGGCTGGAGATGAGCCAAGTCTTCCCAATTCAGGCCCTGTGCTGGTACGTCACTACACTAGCCACTGCCAACCATGATCCTTCATCTGCTCACCTGCCACCCTGCATCCACATAGAAAATCACACCGCCTTCCAGTTCCCCAATGAATGATCAGTCCAGCACCCCTGTATTTCTCTCCCTTTTCATTCCAACTAATAGGCTGAGAAGGGTTAACACACTTGGTTGCTAAGCTAAAGGTTGGAGGTTCAAGTCCACGTATAAGCATTTCTGAGGAAATGCCTGGTGATTGACTTCCAAAAAATCAGTTACTGAAAACCTTATGAGGCACAGCTCTACTCTGACAAACGTAGGGTGGCCGTGATTTGGAGTGACTGGAATGTTACCCTATCTGCTGTCTATCTAGAGGACAAGTTCTGGGATTGTGCTGTTTCAAATGTAAGCCACCAGTCACATGTGACTGCTGAATATTAAAAGGTTGGGAGTCCAATTTGAGATGTATTGTATGTGTAAATGAGCCCTGGTAGTACAGTGGGCTAAGCATTGGGCTGCTAACCGAAAGGTTGGCTGTTCAAATCCACCAGTTGCTCCAAGGGAGAAAAAAGAGGCTGTTGGCTCCTGTAAAGATTTACCATCTCCGAAGCCCTAAGGAACAGTTCCACACAGTCCTATAGGGTTGCTGTGAGTTGGAATTGACCCAGTGGCAGTGGGTTTGGTTTTGGGTTTTGTATAAGACTCCTGGTGTGGTGCTGTAGGATCAGCACTGGACTGTGAACCACAAGGTCGGCAGTTCAAACCCACCAACTGCCCCTCAGAAACCCTATCAGGGTTTCTGTGCATCAGCACTAACTCGACAGCACTTAACAACCACAACAATGTGTAAAATACACTCTGGATTGTAAAAATCTAGCACAAAGAAAAACAATGTAAAATGGCTCATTAATCATTTTTATACAGATGTTGAAATGATAATATTTTGTATACACTGGCCTAAGCAAAATGTGGAGTCCTGGCGTGGTGCTGTGGGCTAATGCATCAGACTGCAAAGTCGTTTGAACTCCAAGGTTAGTGGTTCAAGCTCACCAGCTGCTTCTTAGAAACTATACTGGGTTGCTATGGGTCGGAATTGACTCGATGGCACTTAACAATAACAATAAGCAAGATATGTTATTAAAATGAATTTCAGCTGCTTCATTTTACTTTTAAAAAAAATAGGGTTACTTGAACATTTGAAATTGCCTAGGTGACTCACATCATCTTTCCACTGGCTAGCTTTTGGAGACACATAGACATGCCTTGAGATTATTGTCACCCAACTTCCTGCTGTGGAACATTGGGTCTCGTTGAGCCTCAGCCTCCTTGTTTATAAAATGGAGATCCTAATAGCACTTGCATTATAGAGCGGGTAAAAGGAAGAATAAGATCCTATGACTAAACTGTATATATCAGTGCAAGGTCTATAGTCAGAAATACATATGAATTATTACTATTTCTCTTCTTCTTCTCCATGCCAGGTACATTTCAACCTCATTTCGAGGCTGTGATAGGTCAGTTGCGCCATCACCGTTGAAGTTGCCTAGCCATCTACACCCAGGCACAGCTACCTTATCTGAGTGCCCACACAGATGGGAGAGCCCTGGGCTGCCTGATACTCCAATCTCCCTGGAGACAGCTGGTTATATTGCAGGGAGGCTGGGTGGCATCTGTCTCTCTTCTCTTCTCCAACTCCCCAAAAGAAAGGAAGATTTCTTTCAATAACTGTTGCCATCTCTGTATAGTTGTGACCCCTTATTCCTCACCCTCTTCTGCTATTTCTCCACATTCTACTGTTGTGGCTCTTCCTTTGAGAGAGTGGGACCGAACAACGGCAGCTGCTAGAGATGCAAGTGGGAGATTTATCCTTGTGGGTAATTTTGCGTGTGGCCAGGCCTGTATGTGTGTGTGGCTGTGTGTGTGTGCAGATTTGAGATGTTTCTGTTTCTGGCCTTGTGCACAGGCGGCTGTGTGAGTGTGTGCTGTGTACACTGCCTTCCCAGCCGTCCTCCCTCAGTCAAGCTGAAAGGGCGACCCTGAGGATCCAGTGTGAATCCAGACTCAGAAAAAGAGCACCAAATGGCGGCTGCTGCCTGTGTGACCAGCCTGGCCGATGAAGTCAACTGCCCCATCTGCCAAGGCACCCTGAGGGAGCCGGTCACCATCGACTGTGGCCACAACTTCTGCCGCAGCTGTCTTATCCGCTACTGCGAGCTTCCAGGCCCAGAACCCGAGGAGCGCCTAACTTGTCCGCTTTGCAAGGAGCCCTTCCGTCCAGGGGACTTCCGGCCCAACTGGCAGCTGGCCAGCGTGGTGGACAACATTGAGCGCCTCCAGCTGGTGTCCCTGGAGGGCCCAGTAGAAGAGAACGCCTGCCAGGAGCATGGGGAGAAGGTCTATTTCTTCTGTGAGGATGACCACATGCAGTTATGCGTGGTGTGCCGACAGGCCCAGGAGCATCGGGCCCACACTGTGCGCTTCCTGGAAGATGCTGCAGAGCCCTACCGGGTAGGAAGGAGAGAAGGAGGGGGAGCAGGATGGGTCTTCTGGGATTGGGCTGGACTAAGAGAATCAGGGCAGATCGGTGGATTATTTGGGTACCCTGAAGTCAATTTCTTTCTCCCTATTTATATGATCACCAGGCCCAGGCATAGAAAGTGTTGTGTTTTTGTGTTGTGGTTTTGAGTATGTTCTATGTTGTTTACTTTTGGCCAACACGTAATGTTGTTGTTGTTAAGTGCCATCGAGTCGGGTCCAACCCATAGCGACCCTGTACAGGGTTTCCGAGGGTGTGGAGCTCCTTAAGTACTTGTTAGGAGTCCCTGGGTTGTGCAAATAGTTAAGAGCTGGCCCGATAACAGGTGGAACCCACCCAGATGTACCTCAGAAGAAAGGTTTAGTGATCTGCTATGAAAGGTCACATCCTTGACACCCTTGAAGCGCAGTTCTACTCAGAGATACATGGGTTAAAATCCACATGATGGCAACTAGTTTGATTGTTCTTGGAGTACTTGCTGAATGACTGACTGAATGAACACAATGCGACTATGTCTATTTGTAACTATCAGGCAGATGTGTCTGCAGATGCCTTGGTTTGTTTTGAGGGAATGATTGTAAGAATGATGTGTTCATTAATGTTTGCATGTTTTTGAGGGTACCGTGTGTTTGGGGGCTTGGGTACATGTGTATTTGAGTATGTAAGTATAACTAAGTGCTTTTGTTCATGAAATTAATGTTTATTATGTACAGGCTGTATAAATAGATATGATATGTAATTTGATCTGTTATTAGTTTGTAATGTTTTTATTTGTTGTATGTTGTGTGTTTTAGTACAAGTGAGTATCTCGCTGTGTGTGAATGTGGTAATCAGTTAACTGGTAGTGGTGCTTGTATACCATCAAATTGGTTCTGACTCATAGCGACCTTGTATAGAGTTTCTGAGATTGTAAATCTTTATGGGAGCAGAAAGTTTCATCTTTCTCCCTCAGAGCAGCTGGTAGATTCGAACTGCTGACCTTGTGGTTAGTAGCCCAATTTACAGCCCATTGTGCTATGAGGGCTCCTTAATAACAGATATACCTGCTGTATATGTTCCTAACTCTACTCTAGACCAAGCAAATTTTAAAGCAATTTATTGATTGTTTTTATATTATCCAGGTTTCTTCACATCAGAGTCACACAGATAAAAGATTCCATTTACAAGAGAGGGTTATTTGGACCTATTTCCTTTGGGACATATGAAAAATCTGGTAATTTCAAAGATGGTCGTATCATATGTTCAAAAGCTCAATTCAGATCTCAGATACCACTTACTGAAGGCAAACAAACAGTAAAGCTGGGTATTTACCCTGGAGAAAAAAAGGCTGGAATGGGAAAACTGAGTCATAGCCTCAGATGGCACATGATAAAGAGGAATTGCCCTGGTCAAAAGTCTTGAAGGACAATGCAAGAGGAACAAGACCCAAAGAGAGCATAGGGTCAAGGATGATTAAGGCCCAAACATTGTCAGCTAAGGGAGTGACTCTTTTCCTTGGGTCATTTTCCTACTGGAGGTGACACCCTTTAACAAATCTTTTTTTTTTTTTTTTTCAGTCTTAAATATTTTATACTCTTTCTTCCCAGGAACAAATACAAAAGTGTCTTGAGTGTCTAAGGAATGAGAGAAAGGAAATTCAAGTGATCCAGTCAAGAGAAAATCAAAGGATACAAGTCCTCCTGGTAGGTCATCTACGTCACCATTCCTTCCCTGGGCCCCTTCCCTTGCTCAGGATCTACTGTCTCACTAAAACAGAGGCAAAAGAGTAGCTAGGGCTTTGAGGGATTCTCAATTTGAATCTTGACTCTGTTACTAACTAGGCATATAACTTCAAGCAACTCTCTAACTTGACTTTCCTTATTTGTGAATGGAGATTAAAAGTAATCACTACCTTATCGAATTGCTGTGAGGATTAAATAAGGATATTCCTGTAAAGTAGCTTAACTCACTGTCATTGAGTTGATTCAGAATTCATAGTGACCCTAAATAGGTTTTCAGAGACTGTTAATCTTTATAGGAACAGACAGCCTCATCTTTCCCTTGAAAAGTGGCTGGGTAGATTTGAACAGCTGATCTAGAGGTTAGCAGCCTAAACCACAGTGCCACCTGGGTTCTTTTTGCAAAGTAACTTAGCTCTGTATATATAGTATATGCATCACAAAGGTATTCCTGCCACCTCTCACTACATCTCCTCTGAGCTCTGCCTGCCTAAGCAGTTCTAGAAGATGGTGCTGAGGCAATGCTGGGTGGTCTGTCTCCCAGACACGGGATGAAGGGGGAAATCAAACCAGATAGCAGTTCCAAAACTGTCTGGGGGTGAGAGGAGGGCTCTTATTTTACCATTGAACTCTGGAGGATGTGGATCTGGGCCAAGATGGGGAAGGGAGTGAAGGAAGGTGAAGGAAGAAAAAGTAAAGGAGTGAAGTAAGGTAAATGAAGAAAAAGTAAGAGGAGGAAGAGGAGAAAAGGGGGGAAGAGGCGGAAGAAGACGGCAAATAACTTTCTCCTGGGGTCTCCTCCTACCTCTCAGACTCAGGTGGCCACCAAGAGACAAAAGGTAGTTTCTGAGTTTGTGCATCTAAGCCAGTTCCTGGAGGAACAACGGAGCATCCTCATAGACCACTTGGATAGGCTTGATGGGGACATTTTAAAGCAGCGGGAAGAGTTTGATCTTCTGGTCAATGGAGAGATCTGCCGCTTCAGTGCTCTGATTGCCGAGCTAGAAGAGAAGAATGAGAGGCCAGCAAGAGGACTCCTGACGGTGAGCCCTATACTCACCCCCACCTGTCCTGTTCCCTTGCTCTGCTAGGACTGTTTGCATCTAGACCTTCCTAAGCCATCTGTGTTTAATCAGTCATCTGTGTATCCCAAATGGGTGATGGATCATAGGACCAGAGGTCCGAATTCTGGCTCTGATCTCTGTCTCTCCACCCCACAGCCCAACAAACAGAGATGGTGCTCTCTTTAACTACCTCCCAGGGATGTTGTGAGGATCCTGCAGTAAAACCGGAAATGAAAGTAGCACTTTGAAAAGTACTGAGTGCTGTGCAAACCAATATCAGGTGCTATTTCCAGAGCAAACTGTTCTGTAATCATCCTCCAGTCAGGACATTCTTCCAGTCTAATGTCACCCCTTCACATTGGAGGAGAGGGAAAGGCGTGCTGTAGGGGAAGCACTTGGGACTGAAACACAGTCGCTTGCTGTAAGACTTACCTTTGCCTCTTATGAACAGGTACAGGTCATACCACCATTCAGGGCCTATAAAATTAAGGGGTTCAGACCTTGGGCTTCCCTGAGAGGCCTCAAAAGCCCTAAAATTTATGACTCTGTGATTATGGTGTTCTTTTTCTGTCCAGAGCTAGGAATATGGTATTTTGTCTTTTGTAGTTATAAGAAAAGTAGGAGGGTTGGAAACTGATTCCCTGCTCTCTTTCTCTCTCCCTCCTAGGATATCAGAAGCACTCTAATAAGGTAGGTGATACAGCTCCTGTTTCCTCTTTCTCCACATAAATAAATACACGTTTATGTGCCACACACCTAGTAATCCCCATACACATATTTCACAGTCTCACATTAAGGATATGAATTCACATATTAAGTTTTCACATATCCAAAGGCATCCTCATTGCACACCTCCACAAAGCATCCCAGAGTGGACAGTGGGGTTCATCCTAGAAGAAGTGTGTCTGTCTGTCTCATCCATGACCAATTAACAAGTGACCACCAGTTGCTTCTGAAGGCATCGATAATGAGAATCTTCCCCAAGTCTCCCTTAGTCCCTGAGAGTTTGAGCTACCAGACAATCCTGCTGATCTGTGTGTGACTTATGGACTCCACCATTTCTGTGTCCCTAGATGTGAAACCAGAAAGTGCCGGAAACTAGAGTCTGTGTCCCCTGAGTTGGGCCAGAGGATTCGAGCCTTCCCCCAGCAGGCTTTCCCACTGCAGAGGGAGATAAAGACATTTTTGGGTAAGAGAACTTCAGGTCTTCACAGGTGGGCTTTGATGCTCTACTGACAAATGTTACTATGGGAACTTCAGCAAGACTTGCTCCCTCTGTACTTTGGCTTCCTTATTTGTAGATTTTCAAAAATAAAATCTGCCTATCAGGATGATGTAACAATGAAGAAAGACAATAAAAGTAAAGATTTCTGGGGGGCAGGGAAGCTAACTGATTAAAAAAATAACCAAGTAAATCTGATCAATTGCATTAAGCAATATAAAAGATAATGATTAAGAAAATCCACAGTAGAGTTTATAATACATGATATGTCTTTGTGATAATGAACATTGACAATGAATACCCAGCAACAATATTTATCCCCCTCTCCCTCACTTTCTTCCTATTAGTCTATTTCTCAGAGTTGAGTTGCCTTGTACGGACCGTGCCCTCGTTTTGTAGAACTGGAAATGTAATAGGAGACAGCATGGAGAGTTGGAAATGGGAGCCAGGCATGTAACACTCTGCCAACACTCTCCCTGCCATCCAGACATCATGAAGGATGCTTTGTATTTCAAAATGACGCATCCACAAATGTCTCCTCTAGAAGAACTTTTCCCAGAAGTCCGCTTCCTGCCATGATGTCCAATGGTCTGACAGTGAAGGAAATTTTTTTCTAATCAAAGTCCCACCTTTGAATAGCCCCAAAACTATTTCCAAGAAGAATGAGAAATAGTTGAACCCATCTATCCATCCATTTTACTTGCATCCACAATCAGTGTTCATGGAAGCAGCAATCAAGAAATCCAACATATTACATTGGGCAAATCTACTGCAAATGACCGCTTTAAAATGTTAAAAAGCAAAGATAATCAATTTAAGGACTAAGATGCACCTGACCCAAGCCATGCTGTTTTCAATAACCTCATATGCATGGGAAAGCTGGACAATGAATAAGGAAGACCAAAGTAGAATTGATGCATTAGAATTATGGTCTTGGTGAAGAACACTGAATATACCATAGACTGTCAGAAGGTCAAACAAATCTGGCTTGGAAAAGAGTACAGCTAGAATGCTCTTTAGAAGTGAGGATGGAGAAATATCATCTCAGGTACTTTGAACATGTTATCAGATGGGACCAGTCCCTGGAGAAGGACATCATGCTTGGTAAAACACAGTGTCAGTAAAAAAGAAGCCCCTTCATTAGATGGATTGACACAGTGGCAACAGCAATTGGCTCAAACATGGCAATGATTGTGAAGATGGTGCAGGACAAGTGTTTCATTCTGTGGTACATAGGGTCACTATAAGTTGTAACCAACTGGATAGCACCAAACGTCAGCAACATCCATTCAGTAAGCAGAGGTTTTTGGAGCATTTACTATGCATGTCCTGAGCACTGTTCAGAAGTGACAGACATAGTTCCTGTTGGCTTGGAGAAGACACAGTGGTTCTCAAAATACAGTTTCTAGCAGCTTCAACATTTCCCTGAAAACTGCTTGCTGTTGTTAGGCGTTGTCAAGTTGGTTTCGACTCATAGCGACCTTATGCACAACGGAACAATATACTGCCCGATCTTTCCTCTTCATTTCCAACCTTTGCGTCCCAGTCACCAGTAATCGTTAATACACTTCACTGCATGTTTGATCAATTTCAGACTGGAGAAGTTGATAGGATTCTTCAAGTTCATCTGGCGTTAGTGGTTGGTGCCTACATTTGAATAATAGTGATATTAACTGGTCTTCCTTGTTGCTATTGCAAAGTGCCATTGAGCTAGTTCTGACTCGTAGACACCCTGTACAGGGTTTCTGAGGCTTTAAATCGTCGAGAGAGCATAAAGCCTCATCTTTCTTCCATGGAGCAGCTTGCTGGCTCAAACGGAGGACCTTGGGGTTTGCCTTTCATTACTTATCATATGGAACCACCATACTTGCTGATCTTTCCTGTAGACATATGGATGTTATCCTATCACAGACCGCATCGTACGTCAAGATAGAACTTGAAGTGATCCTTTTGATGATCACTTCAATTTTGCATTCCCAGCATAGTAAATCATATGATTGTCAGATTCAAAATGGCTAATACCAGTCCATTTTAGCCCACTAATATCTAGGATGGAGCCCTGGTGTGGCACTGTGGGTTAATGCTCCAGACTGCAAAGCCATTTGAACTGCAAGGTTGGTGGTTCACGCTCACCACCTTCTCCTTGGAAATCCTATACAGGGTTGCTATGGGTCAGAACCAACTTGACAGCTCTTAACAACAACAACATCTAGGATATGTATTCCATTTCATTTTTGACAACTTTTGATTTTTCTAGATTCACACTTCCTATATTCTGTGTTCCAATTATTAATGAATGTTTGCAGGTTTCTCCTCATTTTGAGTTGTACCTTGTCAGCAAATGAAGGTCTTGAAAGCCTTACTCCATTTGCATCATTGTGGTCAACTCTACTTTGAGGAGGCAATTCTTCTCCAGTCTTATTTTGAGTGCCTTTCAACCTGAGGGGCTCATTTTCTGGTACTATATCTGACAATATTTTGGTGATTTTCATAATGTTTTCATCTTCTGGTACTATATCGGACAATGTTCAACTGTTATTATTAAGGTTTCAGTGACTACACATTTAGAAATAGTCTGCTTTTCCTTCTTCCTAGTCTCAGTCTGGAAGCTCAGATGAAACCTGTCTACCCTGGGAGACCCTGTTGGTATTTAAAATCTCAGTGGCATAGCTTCCAGCATCACAGCAACATGAAAACCACCACAGCACAACAAACTGATAGACAAGTGGTGGGAAACTGCTCTCAGGTAGACTGAATCCGAAACACTTGCATTTTAACATGTCCTCTAAGATAAACCCAAATTTAGAACCAATGGTCTAGTGGGTTCCAGCTTTGTCTCATTGTCCCTTCCCTTCACCTGGTCTGCGTTTCCTCATCATTAAATGTTTTGTGATTTTGTGACACTAATCTATTCTGTTTTATATCCTCTTTACAGAAAAACTCAGCTTTGAGTTGGACTATGATTCAGGTAAGTAGCCTACATCAGGATAGGAGGGAGTGAGGAGTCCAAAACTGAAATGCAGAGGCAATTTTGCAGGGTTTGGCATTGGGCACCATAATAATAATGTGTGTGAATGTGTACTTATATTAATATATCCACACACACGTATACATACATATATAAATACTGTCTTTATAAGGCCTTTAGTAGAACTCTGAAGAGAAGAAGACGCACACACATATCACATCACATACCTGGCATGAAGCTGACATTCTGAATCAGAATGTATTGAGAAGATAGAAAGATTAAATCAAAAAGAGAGAAGATCTATCAGAGAAATCTTCCTGGATGAGAGGAACTTTGATATGGGTTGAAAAAACCACACTCTTAGCACTGTTAGGAACTCTTACTCCATCTCAAATGTAGTTTCATAGATGATAGTTGGAAGGAGCGTAGCCTGTGAATGGGAAAGGAGTGAACAGAATGGACCCCATTCAAGGATGTTGGTCCAATGTATCAACCTATAATCCTCATGGGTAATGGACCTGTTGAAGGGATTCTCTAGCCATGTATACATCTGAATTTATAGATTGTTCTCAATTTGTGGATACTAAAAATTATATAAGGCAGGTAAGCCAGAGGGCCTGTTGGAAGTATAGACTGTGAATAAGCAGGTCAGAATGATTTCTGGCAGGTAAGAAATGAGCAATTCCAAATTTTGGACTGAAGGGTAGAATGTCTGAAGCCACTGAGATGCTGGAAGGGAAGAATGTAGTATGTCAGCAGGGAGGAGGCGATCAGAGCAGGCTCTGGCAGCTTGGGAAGTCAACCAGTGTAAGGTGAACAGAGCCACTTTCCAGAATCAAGAGAGAGCTTGAATATCCAAGCTCTCCTTATCCTATAAGGCAGTTTTCTCAGACTTTCATATGCACACACATCACCTGGAAGATCTTGGTAAAATGAAGATTCTAATTCAGTGGGTTTGGGGTGGGGCCTGAGATTCTGCCTTTCTAACATGTTCCCGGGTGATGCCCAGGCTGGTGGTCCACGTAGGCACTTCTCACATTGTTGATAATAATAACACTAGCCGCTGGGTGCGAGTAAAATTTTTAGCTCTTCTTTTAAGGTAATAACATGCTTGTTGATGTCTGTATCCTTTTGGTTTTACCCACAGCTCACATTTCTCTAGATCCCCAGACTTCTCACCCCAAGCTCCTCTTGTCTGAGGACCACCGGCGGGCTCAGTTCTCCTACAAATGGCAGAACTCACCAAACAACCCTCAACGTTTTGACCGGGCCACCTGTGTTCTGGCCCATGAAAGTTTCACGGGGGGGAGACACACATGGGTGGTGAGTGTAGACTTGACCCATGGGGGCAGCTGTACCATGGGTGTGGTAAGGGAAGATGTGCAGCGGAAGGGGGAGCTGCGGCTGCGGCCAGAAGAGGGGAACAACAACAACAACAACACACAGCTGTACCATGGGTGTGGTAAGGGAAGATGTGCAGCGGAAGGGGGAGCTGCGGCTGCGGCCAGAAGAGGGGGTGTGGGCAGTGAGGCTGGCATGGGGCTTTGTCTCGGCTCTGGGCTCCTTCCCCACAAGGTTGACCCTGGAGGAGCAGCCCCGGCAGGTGCGAGTGTCTCTGGACTATGAGGTAGGGTGGGTGACCTTTGTCAACGCTGTCACCCATGAGCCAATCTACACCTTCACAGCCTCCTTCACTGGGAAGGTCTTTCCTTTCTTTGGGCTCTGGGGCCGAGGATCCAATTTCTCCTTGAGCTCCTGAGAGCTTCCTCTAAGTACAAGACTTAAATAGAGTTCTGTGTGAACTTGACCCCTGGCTGAATTCCCTGGGAGACTTGGGGTAGAAATTAACTGCTTTAAATGATAAGATGTGAGTTTGGATTTTGTCAAAGGGCATCTTCAACCCAAAGATGAAACCTTTTTCCCAATGCCCAGTCAATGGCCAGGATATCCGGAGACTTGGGCCACTGCCAGCCCTACTCATCACCATCTCCACCAGACAAAGAAGCAGCTGGATAGAGGAAAATGTAATGGATTTGGAGTCAGAAGACCTGGGTTCAAGACTAACCCTTGTCATCAATCATTGTGTGACCCTAAGTAAGGAGCCTCACCTCTCTGTATCTTGGTGTCTTCCAAAAATATTGGAGCTCATTTCTTCATACCCTCAAGGAACATTTATTGTGTGCCAAATTTGCACCAATCCATAAAGAGTCTCTAGTGATATAAAACCATAACAAAACATGGCCTGTCTCTGAAGACGTTTGCAGGAAGAGACAGAAAGATTGAGGGAAATTATAGCATAGCTTATAATATAGCACAACCATGGTTCTGTGATAGGGATCTAAGTAGAGTGTTTTGGTGCAGAGGGGCCTAAGGTAAATGCATATGCTGATCCCAGCTTGCTGGGGACTTTTGAGGGCTCACTCTGCTCAAAATTTAAAAACCAGAATTAATGATCATCAATTAATTCAGGAGTCCTGGTGTGGTGCTGTGGGTTAATGCGCCAGACTGCAAAGCTGTTTGAACTGCAAGGTCGGTGGTTCAAGCTTACCAGCTGCTCCTCAAAAATCCTATACAAGAGTCGCTATGGGTCGGAACCAACTTGACAGCACTTCACAACAACAACAACAATTAATTCATCGCTGCCATTACCACCACCATTTTGATAGTTATCATGATTTATGTACTTAGTATGTGTCATCTTGAACCCTTTACGTGTCTAATGTTGTTTAATCTTGGTAATTCTATGAGACAGAGCCTATTATTACTCCCACTTTTAAAGTTGACAAAGCTGAGGACTAGTGAGTTTGGGTTATTTGCTCAGCCAATGATTTTAATCTATGTCCAATTTAAGAGCTTATAACCAGCACACTGCATAGCTTTCTTTGGAAGTTGGGCCCCACATGAGTCCTGGTAACTACTTTAATGCTGATCATACTCCCATGAGTTTCATACTGAGAAATAAAGCATCTAGTGAGTGAAATTTTTTCATATTAGCCTATCAGTACCTGTTCCTCCCTTAAGGTAGTTCTTCTTGAACTTTACTTGCTCCGGAAATGTGGAGACAAAGTAGAGGATGGATCCTAAAATGTAATAACTTAAAGTTAAGACAGCTCCATGAACCTCTCTGCTTGCCCGAGAATTGGGATTCCAGTTTCAATGATTGAGGCCCTGATGTTCCTAACTCCTTTTCCAAGACTCCAAAGAAGTGTTGTGTGTTTGCTCCAACATTCACAAGTTGCATCTGAATTTCTTTACAGCTTACATCGTAGCAGATCCTTCCATTACAAAGAATAGCAATCCACTCAAGTTAGTTCAAATAGTGGGAAAGTGTATTCTCAGGACAGACATGGAAATAAGGAAAACAGGACTTTCCACCATTCAGTCAGGTCTCATGGAAAGAAGCTATTAGTGTAGTGGTGATTCAGTAATAGAAACACCCATGTAGGAGTTGTTGTTGTTTGTTGTTAAGTGCTGTCGAGTTGGCTCCAACTCATAGCAACCTTGTATAGGGTCTCCGAGGAGTGGCTGGTGGGCTTGAACTTCTGACCTTGAGGTCCAAAGCAACGTTGCAGTCGAGCACATTAATCCACAGCGCCACACCAAGAGTCCAAAATGTAGGAGAACCAGGGTTCGATTCTTGCAAAACCACCAATTATTGTCTATTGTTATGATGCTGAATGTGTTTGAGGAACACTTCCAGACTAAGATGGGCTAGTAAGAAAGGCTGGTCTTCTACTTCTGAAAAGCAGCCAGTGAAAACCCTATGGGTCACAGGTACCATCTACAACCTATTCACCAGGCAGCATTTCTGTTGTACATGGAGTCTGCATGACAGCTGATTTGATGGCAGTTAACACCCCAGTGAGATGGATTGGCAATATGGCAGCATCAATAGGCTCAAGCCTAGCAACAAATGTGAGGTTGGCCCAGAACTGGGCAGTGTTTTGTTCTGCTGTGCATAGGGTCGCTATGAGTCGGTATCGACTAGATGGCACCTAACAACAACAACAACAACAACAACAACACAGCCATGGGAAATAGTAAGGGGAGGAGGAAGAACTGGAGATTCATAAAATGCTAATAATCATAGCAAACATACTGTCACTTGGACCAGACACTGTGTTTTACATATTTATTTAATGCTCACAGCACCCCTATGAGTTAGATATGATTATTGATAGCCCCCGGGCATTTTATATATGAGGGAATTGAGACATGTGGAGGCTGAGTGTTGTTAAAGTGCTGTGCAATCAGCTCCGACTCATAGTGACTCTGTATAGGGTTTCTGAGGAGCAGCTATGGGTTTGAATTGCTGACCTTGTGGTTAGCAGTCCAGTGCCTCTCTCCTATAGCAATTGATCCCAAATCAGTAGATAATAAAAAGCAAAACAAGAATTTTAATTCAAGTGGTTTGGCTCCCAAGTCTGAGCTCTTAACCATTAAGCAAAACTGTCTCTGTGCTTAAGAATTGGTAGACCGAAGGATCGAGGTCTAAGGAAGTTCTAGAGATGGACTCATCCACCTAGCAGCAGGGACCAAAGATATTCCAGCACTCTGCCAGGAGTGTGGTTCTGACTCTCTGCATCTGCTCTCCCTATCTACATTCACTGTAGAGCCATTTTGGATTTCCAAGGGAGTCTGAGCCAATCTTTCTTGGTAAGTCTTAATCTCAACTGCTCATTCTGTAGTTAGACCGCCCTGGGCCAGATGCCTAACCCTGGTCCAGTCATCTGTGGCAGTCTCAGACGAGGCTAGAGGCTCTGACAGGCACCTGCAATGTAACTGACTTCTCTTCCTCTGATAGGATACTTCTGGACAAGTTCTCTGTGTGACATTAACTCCATCTTGTTGTTGCTGTTGTTGTTATTATGCGCCATCGAGTCAGTTCTGACTCATAGCAACACTGTATAGGGTTTCTGAGGAGTGGCTGTTGAGTTTGAACTGCCAGTCTTGCAGTTCACACTGACTTGGTGGTCCAGTGCTTATCTTACAGTGCCACACCAGGACTCCTTAACCCCATCTAGGATGTGGGAATTGTTAGTTGCCACATTTAGGGTGTTCATTCCTAGCTAATGTCTTGGTCTTAGATTTGGGTTGTCATGTTTCTCTGAGACCTTCAGCTTTCTTCCGACTAACTACACCT